AATAGTCCTCGCCGGGTGCCAGTCGGGGTGATATGCGCGCCCCGAAAATATTCTTTGACGCCGATAGCACTTGCTTATTATTTGCAATGCCACGAGGGGGAGGGAGGTGGGCTGTCTGCGTCACACCATAGAAAATGTCGATTGCACCTGAATTCTTGGATGAGCACGACCTTATCAAATTCAGAACAAATTATCTTTTAAGACGCTCGTCTCTACTAATCGGTTAGAAGTGTCCCCGTATGCAGCAGGACTTTCAAATCACAAACGTATAGAGTTTCCGATTTTGGCGCCAGGGGTTGTTGAAACACTTTCATCGGTGCTCATTACTCTTTAAATGTTAAAAACATTCCATATCTCAAATACTTGCCATTCGATTCTAGTACTGAATCGAATGAAACGCTATTCGATTCGGTGTTCAAAATTATCGAATACTCGCGCCTCCCCACTGAATACACAAGCATCCCCAAGAAAAGGTGGCCGACGCCGCCCAGAGCGATTCGTCGACGTTGTGTTCACCAGAGCAGTGGCGTTAAATCTTAGCTGCCTTGGTTCAGTAGGCATACGACTTCTCACGTTCATCCACTTGACATCATACGTTTTACCATTATGAATTTGCTCTTGGAGTTTCTGTATTACAGCATAATATTCATAAATCAAATGAGGTCAATCGTTGCATTCGCTTTGCGTGAAGTGAAGCAAATTCACTTGTACATACCGCGTTTAATTGCCTCAAACTTATTCATCGCTTTTTTTTTCTCTGTAGTATCAATACGAGCAATGAATATAAAGCATTTTACAGATGAAAAAGAAAATCTTGTGTCGACTGCAACGAATTTGCCACACAGCAAGAGCTAATGATGGGCTTCGGATGTTTTTTTTTTCGTTATCTTTTTAAAGGCCTGGCCATGGCATTCAACAGTGTCGTTTGCGTTATCTCATGTCATCGCTTGCTATGTAGTGACTTCTTAATTGGTTCGTTGTTTATTCAAATATATAACTTAATGTCACCCTTCACATATCACTGTATTGGTTTGCTTAAAGCGTACTGCCCGATATCTTTATTTAAGTATTATAACATTCAAATAATAAGCGTTCCCACTAAAAGAAACACGTATCGATGCCATAGCCATTGAGGTGAAATGTTGATGTCATGACTTCCGAATTTAGATTTTTTATTACGAATACTAGAATGGGACACGTGTTTAGTATAAAAAAGAAACACCCAAAATCGGACTGTATTGATATATATATATATATATATATATATATATATATATATATATATATATATATATATATATATATATAAATGAATGATGCCCATAACAATGACACTCAAGCAAATATAAATCGTGAGACATCCGTTTGCTCTGGTCAGTCTAAACTATTTTCACTCTACAACTAAGCGCATTGTTTGGAACTGCCCGCATTATGAAATAGCTCTGCGTAAAACAAGTCTACAGCGTGCGCATGGACAATGGGTGTACGCCTGATACGCGCGTGACACCTGCAGGATCTCCTAAAAAGTATTTGTAGCATTGGTTTGTTGACCTTTCCTTAGATGGCAGCACATAACGCAAGCTCTACGTTTCAGCATTTAGTTTGAGATGGCGCAATCAACTCCACATGTATTTCGAGCGATGCAAGAAATTCTAAGCCTTCGATAGGCAAGAAACGGTGTAATCCGCAAGATCTGCTGTGACGAGACAAAATGCACTCCGCTGTGAATTAAATATACAAACTGGAGTCGGAATAGAACCATTACATATTTTGTTCAGGGCATCAGTCTCAAGGCTATCTGCGCTAACAAAATCACGTTTCTTGTGATATCTTCCCAATATTTCATATTTTCAACCAGACCAACTGCTTCATGTTGTAAGATTAGTTTCTTTGTTTGGACCGAACAACAAGGTCATTCTAAATAGGTCGCGCAAGTCGGAACGAAAAGTGGTCTGAAATCTAATGCGACAGACATCAACAGTCGCGAGACAATTGAACCGCGACTAGGTGGAGGTGGAGGGTGGGGCAAATAGCGTGAGCGAAAAATAAATTAAATGTTTATTTTGAATAGTTTTAAGTTTATTTGTCTGAAAAAAATTACTAGATTACTTTAATAAGCTTTAGTCTTTGGTATGTGGTTGAACACCCATTTTCTTCGTTTGGTTTCAGAAACAGTGGGCACATGGAGGCCGTCTGGTAACATGAGCCAACTGATTTGTGAGTCTGTATATTAACTCTATAGGGATTTGGGGGCGTATCCAGGCGATATGCTTTCAGAGCTCGTGTCTAGTTTTGCGTGTTTTTTTTTTTTTTTTTTGTTCGACGCAACGAGGCATCGCTTACTTTTGCGTGGTGGTTTCGTGCGTGCCTTCAGACAGACAGACGGCGAACTTTATTAGAACTGGAAGAGTTACTGCAGGATCCTCTAATGAGGGGCCGTTGTAACCACTGGTCATGCCCAGGTAGAGGACAGAACGCCGTGACGCTCCGCCCGTTCCTGGGCCCGCTGGACTGCCCGAATTTGCCTGCTGAGTTTCGTACTTCTGATAGCCTCCTCCCATTCGGCTTCGCTTGAAAGAAGGTTGTTAGGCAGTGCGGGACATCGCCAGAGCATGTTAGCAATAGAGCAAAAGGTTTCATTGCAGTCAGGGCAGCTAGGGTCAACGTCCGCGTATATTTTACTTAGGAATCTCCGCGATGGGAAAGACTGCGTCTGCAGCATTCTCAAAGTAGCTGACTAAGCGCTGCTGAGCTTCGCTTGAGGAAGAGGATAGATTCTTCTGCCAAGTTGGTAATGCGTGGTTATTTAAGTGAATGTGAGTAGTGCATCGTCCTGCTGAGTCCCTTCCTGCCCCTCCGTAGCCTCCAGACCGTCGCAGCTCGTAAGTTTTCGTGCACGATGATGGGCCAGCTCGTTCAGGTTTGGGAAGTGTTTGAGAACGTTCGTCCCCGTGTGTACGGGGAACCAAGTGATAACATGATAACCTGGACATACCCTCTTTTCTAGAATGCTGGCCGCCTCTCGAGCGAGGTTGCCCGTTTGGTAAGCTTCATTTGCGTCTCTTATGCCCACTTATGCGTCACTTATGCCGCGGAGGCCACCCAGTCTGTCTGAAAGACCCTTCATCCCTATATTGAATAGCAGTGGAGAAACGACTGACCCCTGGGGGTCATCCCTGGGAGGAATAACCTTACGAAGGCCTGGAATTCGACTCGAAGGCCTATTTCCGCCGTGGCCTGCAGTATGCATCGATAGTACACTGTGTCAAACGCCTTAGTGAGATCCAGGGCCCCGAGGCCCCAATCTGTACTCGTTCCATCGAATCAGTCCCACCTGAATACAGGCAGTTCTGTTCATAAGGAATGGCCTAACAAATGCCTGCAATTTCACTCCAAGGCCTATTTCCGCCGAGGCCTGTAGTATGTATCGATGGCACACTGAGTCAAACGCTTTAGTGAGATTCAGGGCTAGAATACCTCGCACGTCCCGAGTGCCACTATCAATGATTTGCTTCCTCAGCATGAACATAACATCCTGCGATGATAGGCCATGTAAAAAACCCACCGTAATATTCGGGAAAGGGTGCCTACGGTCTACATATACGGAAACCCTCTTCAAGATCACGGGCTCTGCTACCTTGCTTATGCATGAGGTTAGTGATATCAGAAGTTTACTTACTTTTTAAAGACGATAGTCTTTCTTGGGGACCTTCGACGCAAAAATATTAATCTGTCTCTCCATTTGTCTGTTTGTCTACCCTTAACGATACCGGGTATTCTAAACGGAACCAGCCGATAAACGAAACGGCCGACCTCGTCCACGATTGTCAATTAAAAAGCAAATATTGGAAATATCTAAGGCATTCTAGCAACGCGTATATATTCTGTATGTGCGTCTTTTACTAGAAAAGGCATACATAAGTAATTCTAAGGAGCATAGCGTTTATTATGCTGCACTGGCCTTGCAACGCTTGCACGAAAAGGCAAGTGTTTTCAAAGCTTTGCTAAGACGATATGGTGGTGGCATCTACCCGTCGCCTTGCGTTCTCCACCTTATCACCTCTGAGACGGGTGCGCACGCCCGTCTCAGAGCCGCGCGCCTCATTTTCCAAGATAACTGCCAGGTAGCACTCATGTATCACGTGTGAGGGGAATTGATACACTCGTTCGCCTCCGCTGCACGCTCAAGGCACTCTAACGCAGCGCCTCCAGAATACCATTCACCGATTTTCTTGTGCAGAACATCAAATAAACGTTTTGTTTACTCTTTTCAGACGCAAGACTATAGTCTTTCGACGGCACTTGCAGATTACCACGCAGATATGGGGCCAATTTTTATGTTAATTTCATAGCTCAACTAGCTCGCAGACTGTGTAGATACCCGCTCCTGTGACTGCCGACTGCTTTCGCTGGCGTACAGCCAGTGTGCCCTCGCCTTTGGTGACTGTGAACGCGACAGGCAAACCAACAAGACGCTGTACTCTAAAGCTGCCAAAGCTATATTTTCAAAACTGCTGTCTCGCTGCAGTGGTTTGTAACGATTGGGCAACGTGAGTTTTCAAACTGTTATGCTATTGTGTTCGTGAACAGCTGTCTCACAATTGCCTCGGCGAAGTTTTTGGTGCAGACGGAAATGCTGTAAGCCCGTCTGCTCAGATTTGGGTGCACGTTAAAGAACCCCTGGTGGTCGAAATTTCCGGAGCCCTCTACTACGGCGTCTCTCATATGCATATGGTGGTTTTGGGACGTTAAACCCCACATATCAATCGAGGTGTGTTCCGAATAAACAATCAAACTTTAAGGAGCTGCTATCACGTGGGCACTATTGTTTGCGGTGATTTTTAGCATCGATGTAAGAACGATTGATTCATTGATTGATTGATTGTTCGAAAAGTTGAGGGCGCAGATTGGGTACCTTCAGCATCCCGTACCCTCAACCATCTATCGGCTATTGTTGTTCGACTCGAAAAGCTTCAGAAAGCTTTTCTGAACATGCGCAGGTGGACGACACTACGAGTGAGACTTACTCGTACCGGAAGCTGGAGGATGTGTGCCGTCGCGTCGCGGCAGGTCTGCGAAAGCTGGGCTTCCAAACAGGAGACCTGGCGGGCATCCACAGTGGCATCTCCTCCGACTTGATCGTGGCATTTTATGGCACTGTTCTCGCCGGTGGACGCGTGGTCTTCGCCAAGGGCAACCTCACCCAACGTCAGTTTCACAATTTTTTTTTGCTCTTCTGTTTACCTTTGCACTACACCTCCTCTATTTTATCAATGCCAGTCAGATGCGCCTCATCCAGCTGTTCACCACCCTCTACTGCAGCCCTTTCCTGCTCTCGCCCATCGCCTAGCCTTCGTGTGTGCTTTGCTGTCATGGGGCAGGGGGCCCCCACATGCACTACGTCATGACGGAAATCACACGAAGTGATTTTCGTTTAGTTGCATGCAGATGCGTTGGGTGGCGTCTTGCATTCGTCATGTTCACTATGTTGGTGGTCACGCTGGCTTTGTAAAAGATAAGGTGTTTTGTGATAGCGTGTCGCCGTTCGTGGCACTATGCGGGCAACCAATGGGAAGAGTCACTGCAACGCTTTTAGATGCGATGCGATGCGCTGCGATGTGGTGGCGGCGTTGCTTCGAGCCACAAAAAGGAGCACGAAGGAACGAATTTCACAGACGCACAATATTGTAGTGGGAAACACGTCTATCGCATCTCGAGGACAAACCACTCAGAAGCACGTGTGGCGCAAGCAGCGCGACCTCTGATGCAGCGTCACATCACGACCAATCCCTGAATTAAGGTGGATTGACGGCTACCAATGGGGTCCCGCACCAGGGATTCCACCCATTGCTCAATAGGTGTAATAAAGTTTTTATCATCATTCCGTTGGTGTGCGCGCGTTTGCACTGGCATTGAAATAAAGGAGGCGTATTATCTATCCTCTTTAACGGCGTAATCAGGACTATACTATTTAGGTAAAACGAAGGGAGGAAGAGATGAGGGATGGTGTGGGTAGATATTTTGCAGCCAGCGCGTATTGTTTTTCTAGCAGCAAATCTGTTACGCTCGTTTTCGAGCTGTACGCAGTCACCAGAAAACTATTATCATCATCGGACTTGGCCACACTCTTCTGCTTCGCTCCTAGTACACGTGCGCCGATTTGTCCGGTGTGAGATGCAGTAACTCTGGTGGGTGGGAGAACGAGTACAGAGAGCGATAAACGACGACAGAGAGAGAGAGAGAGAGAGAACAAGATGGAATGAAGTTGTCGGTGAGCTGTAATTCGAGCCCATGTGCTCATGATCCAAAGGCGCGCATCGTAACCACTCGGCTATACAAGCTCGCTATCATACCACAGCACAGCTTTGTGCGACATAGAATAGCAAGGCAGTGGGAAACAGCAGTTAGAATGAGTACGAGAGATGTAGTGAGGATGGGAGACAGCTAGGCACAGCATAGAAAGAAGGTAACAGAGAAAAATAAAGGGATAAAAGAGAAAATAAATAAGCAAAGTATAAAACAAAAACAGAGGAAACATGAAGAGACACAAAGCGAACAGAGAGATAATCAAGGAAAGATAGAGGAAGAAAAATAGTGGGCTTTATATAAATGAAGAAAGAAAAAAAGAAAGCACACGACAAAGACGTGAAGTGTAGGAAGGTGGCAGAAAAGGAAAGACGAAGGAAACAAAAGAGAGGAAAAAATTGGCCGTGCATCTGCCGGCACGCTTCGGTGAATGCAATAGTCATTCTTTCGGGAAAAAGAAAATAAAATGTTTATTGAACGTTCTCTGCTAGAAAATTGGTAAGTAAATAGAATAAAACGTTTATTATGATTTTCTGCGTGAGTAGATAGGTGAGTGGGATCTTTAGTCCGGGATCCCGTTGGCGCAGGCCGCTCTCTTCGTACGTTTCACGGGGGCCTCTTTGGACCTAAAATTTGAGCTGGACAGAGTTGTCCCGTTTAGGTCGTGTTGTGCCCTTGGTTGCAAAGGGGTTAGTATGCGTTGCGTGAGATATGAACGCCGTCTGGCAGTAATTTCAAGAAAGGAATTTTTCTTTTTCTAGAACAGAGCCATAGCTAGGTGGCTGCAGCACCGTGTCGTTTTAGTGATGCTTAGAAAGCCCTCACTTTTCAGTTCATATCATCGCATTGTCAGCGCAGTTTAATAAGCACTGCATACTTTAGGGTTACGTATGTGTGCATTTTTAAAATAAAAAAACCCTACCTAATACTTATGCGTGGACGTTTCTATAAGATATGCGTGATACTTGCTTCTTGATTGACCGACCATGGTGGTCTAGCGGGTAAAGTACTCAGCTGCTGACCCGCATTTTCGATGGAGGCTAAAATTCTCGAGGCTCATGTGATTATATTTAGGTGCACGCATAAAAAAAAACACATGTGGTCGATATTTCCAGAGTTCTCAAATACGAAGTCCCGCATAATATGGTAGTTTTAGGACGCTAGACTTTAACAATTATTATATAGTATTTTTTATTGACAGTATACGACTGTATGAATGCAGCAAGCAGATCAAAATGGCTGCGCATTGAGACGGTATGTAAACGTTAAGCGGGTGGCTGAATTGTGGGACTGATAGACCAACATAAAGACGGGCAGACCAAAATTTTTGCCTTGAAATATCTCAAGAAAGATTATCGTCTTTATAACGGCAGATCACGCGTTATACCACATGAAACATCGTGCTATGCGAAGCTTGCGAACGAAACAAGAGTGTGGTGGAGCTTTTATTCAGCGGAAAGTTACGAAATGACACTAAAGATATGCGGAAATGATGCACGCACAGACACAAGTTGAACAGTCGCATGTGTTTTATATAACCAGCTGTTTACAGTTGCGTAATGATTCCAACAGCAAAGTGCGTATTAATGGCTCCAGATGTGGTAAGCTGGTATGTAGGGCTTGTGATTGCGAGGGTGGTAGCTCTGGGTAATGCTACGTAGACCAACTTCAATTCATGGCACGTAACTACAACAGAAACTCACCTAATTTGAAGCCTGCATCGTAGGAGTACATTTGAAACGTTTATAGAATGGAGATAGCTAGAACTCCAACTATTATTATAATATAATAAATGGATACTAATATTAGTATTACTACATTAACTAATATTATTGAGAACTAACAGACAATAATCTCAATAATGCATAGGGGAAGTTATTAGACGGAATTGAAGTAAATGCGAAAAAAGAAAAGTGGGTGAAAAGATAACTTGCCATGGGGAAACAACTAAACCTTCGAAGGTTGCAGGTTCGAAGGTCGCAGGTTCGGTTCCTGCCCGGCAAGTTATCTTTTCACCCACTTTTCTTTCTTCTCATTTATATTATATTTCGGTCTAATAACTTCCCTTCGATACTTTTCTTGGCTTTATTGTCTGTTAAATCTCATTATTAATGTGTGAAAACGTGGAAAAACAAGCCCTTAAGTATACACTTCTTTCCCTTATTCATTAACGAGGGTCTCGTAGTGGCAGACTTGGCACCGTTAGGTTGTATACGAGGGACTATGGGTCAGCTGTCAGCTCGCAATGAGTTCACGTGCTACGTGACGCCATACAGGCTCATAAAGACTGTGCCACACTCGCCGTCATGGCTGCTAATGGCGCTGACTGACAATCCCACGTTTAAATTCACATATATGCCCAATAAAGTGGCCGGGAGGATATCCGCCGTGGTAGCTCAGTGGTATAGCATCGAACGCGTTATTCGAAGGTCACAGGTTCGGTTCTTGCTCAGGCCAAGTTATCTTTTCACCCACTTTTCTTTCTTCATTGGGTCTAATAACTTCCCCTATACATTCCTTGGCATTATTGTCTGTTATATATATATAATGCCATGGGCCTGTCGTGCCATTCATTGAAAACATGAGCTCTTAAATTTACACTTCCCTTTATTCAACGAGGGTCTCGTTCTCGCAAACTTGATGCCTTCAGGTAGCATACGACAGATGATTGGTCAGCTTCCAGCGCGTAAAAAGGTCACGAAACGCCAGAAGGCGAAAAAAGTGTCGCACACCTCTACTGACAGCGCGTGTTTAAATGCATTAATAAACCCTATATGTTGGACAGAAAAATGAGCGCCGCCGTAGCTCAGTTGTAGAGCATCCGGGGCGCTAAACGAAGGACGCAGGTTTAGTCCTAGCCGGCGGCAAGTTATCGTTCCGTTCACATTTATTTCTTCGGATTTACATTACAATTACTTCTAATAATGTTCCCCATACTTGGTGTTTTTGTATTTTAGCTTTTATTCGTATTGTACCTTAAATGAAAAGTGACCCTTGAGTTTACGCTTCTTTTCTACAATTTTTCAATTATTATTCCCAAACGTTCGAGCTGCAATATGATATGTAAGACCTTCCAAGCCTGTTAAAATCTTAATTTCGGCTTAAGACCTTAGCTCTAATGTTCGGTATTCATTGTTTTATGCGTATTTTAGTGTATACATAGTACTGCAAGACCTTGCTATTTTTTTTCTTATATGACGTAGTTGTAGGCTTAGTCTACTATAGTGGCCTGAATATCCAGCAAGACGGAATCTTCAACAATTCAAACTAAGGCTCGTTACATCTCTCATCTCAACTGGTCATTGTCTTGATTCGATAGGTTATAATGCAGCGCAAACGAAAATCTGGACACACAGAAGACACGCGCTGAGGTGCTAACTAAAGTTTATTTAGAAAACAGTTCAGTACGTCCCTTGATTTGACGTTCAGAGTAATCGGGCATTCCGTCTTCCAGGACTGTCGGACTCGTCGGTAACCCGAGCCGCTACAAATTCCACAATGATGGTTCTCCTGAAGGGCACATGTAATTGGCTAATGGAAGCTGAAGGGTGCACATGAAGTTGTGACAGTTTTGTGATGCTGCATCTCAAGGTAGCTCGGAGGGCAATGAGTGGATTATACTTCGAAACCAGACTCGTTTCCAGTTTTGGTGTCCCAGCTGATACTCTAACGTGTCATTCAAAAGCCGACAAAGTATAAGTTATTTATGCTTAGTACTTGCATAATTTAAAACTTTCATTGGAGCCTGGCAGTAAAAACTGTGCTGCTTCTGTGCGTAAAAATGTTGCCGGCTTATGGCCATCAAAAACAAAACCCATGCCAGTCAATACTAACATGAACCGAAACACTCGTTTCGGCTCTAAGATAGATATTCCGTCTCGCTGGACACTTCCTCTGAGGGGTTAGTCAGCCTATTAATCAGTTGGCTTGTTTTAAAGAAGGCGATGGCCTATTTCTAATCGATACCGTTGTTTAAATGCTTTCTTGTAATATTTTTGAACAAAATTTCAACACGTCAACACAGCCACGTGCAGAATCGCACACCTATATATAGCACCGGTTCGCATGTTCTTTTATTGTTCTTCTGCGTCTACAGGTGAAGTGCAGTACCAGTTTGCGGACTCGGGTCCCAAGTTGGTCTTTTGTGACGACGCAAATGCGGAAAAGACAAAAGCTGCTTGCGAAGTGGTGCCGTCAGTCAAGGTATTTTTCCGTTTATTTTGCTAAAGCAGAGTGCACACTTTTCGCGTAGACAGTTCAAATATCTCCTATCATCTACTCGCCACTGTATATTTCTCGGTTATCATTTAGCGCTACCCATGTTGGTCAGCTGAACAAATAACATAGAAACGTGAAGCATGTCGACATTCATTTCTGCGTCAAAACGTTTATTTTTCAAAACACATCGGGGAAAAAAAGCATGCAAGCGTCTCTGTGTCGCTTTTGAAAACATGAAATTCCGCTGAAATTGCATTACAGTGCTTCCACATAGTGATCTAGAAATAAATAAAGCAGGAGGATCTTGATGTGGGCGAGCTGGTGTATCGTACATATTAAACAGACAGCGTAAAACCAAAAACGAAAAAAAACAAAAAACCAAGACAAAACTTACAATGGTTTTTATGGGGCCCCCGTGTTTTTGCGCATTAAATATTCCAGCCCATGAACATAAATTCTCAAGGGCGTGAAATCGCTAAATGAAATGGTCACTCCAGTATCAACGAAGCTATTGCCACCAGCGAGAAAAATTATTGGGAGACATTGTGACGTCTGCTCAGCTCACACTTTGATTGCACTGTAAGTCAAACATTAGTATATTATTGTAGCACTCAAACATGGATACACAGCCTAGACATGTGAGCCCTCAAACATGGCGCTACAGTGTGATCACAAGGTGCCAGACTAAGAAGCCTCATGCGCAACACTAGTCAATTATTGATATAACGAACATCTGTAACCTCGCATACCTGCGGCGACAGAACATTTGTCTTTTCACTTAGTCGGTGTGTCTCGCTTATGGTGCAGACTCTGGTAACCATAGGCCAACATGAAGGGATGATCCACCTGTCGGAGCTCAAGAAATCTCCAACTGACTATTCAGCTGCTGGCATTGACCCACGAGGTGTGCTGGCCATAATGTACTCGAGTGGCACGACGGGATTGCCAAAAGGTGTCATGGTGTCGCACCGAAACTTCATCACTCAGCTCATTGTTTCTGGGTACGCGCTCCTTGCAACTTGCCGATCATGTTTGTCCTGTTTTTTATCAATTTGTTTCAGCTGGTCGAGCTTAAAAAATTTAACCTATGCCTATGTATCAGTGCACTTACTTACTGATTTATTGCCACAGTAACGACCCGAACGAGCTCCTACACTCCCATCAACACATAATTGAAATCAGCGCAGTGAGTGAGATTCTGTTCTCAAACTTCGAAACACTTTGTGCACATATGTGAACATACACGCTAGTGGTTTAGCACTAAGTATAATACTAGTTCTAATAATAAATGAATCAACCTATTCCTGTATATAAATGTAGAAGAGGCACATGGTTTAATATAAATCTAATTAGTCAAATGATTAGCACGAGAAACGAAAACTTTCGTTAGCGCATTAAAGACAGTTCTCCTACGGCATAAGCCTTAGCCATTGCCTTAACACTTACGTTTACTTTACCCGGCGTACAGGCCGACCCTGCATGCACCACTCTCCTTTACGTGAGCGCGTTGAATGAAATTGTGCACACAGGCTCGCAAGCTTGTGCGACGCTTATTTTCGCACTGCCCTCTCTGATGCCGCACCTACCACACACGCATGTTCGAGTTGTCATGCAGCCTCTCCTTTCACACATGAAGCGCCGACATGTCGCCCTCATTGTTGCAGATCAAGCTAAGTGGAGAAAATGGTCTCTATGACCACAATCACCGAAAACAATATCGAAAGATCGTGAATATTGGAGCCCGACAGAACGAAAAGAAAATAGCTGTACGTTAGAGCGTGGTGAAAATATGGTGCTCCAATCTCTGTTTCAGGGACGAAGGAGCGCAACTTATAACTACCAATGACAGGATGCTTGGCACTGCCCCTTTCACACACGTATCGGGCCTATGGCTCTACAGCTGCTGTTTCACGGTTGGCGGCTGCGTAATCGTCATGACTCCAACTGATCCAGTTTCCGTTCTTAGGGCCATCGAAAGACACAAGGTTGGTCCCCCTATTAGCAAAGTAGTTAGGGTGATCCAATGTACTGATGCTGGTTCTGTGTAGAATTGCGTTTGCCTTTATCCTGTGCACGCTTACGCAATATTTCACCTATATTCACCGCCGAGAACCTGAGCAGTAATGCAATCGCCAAATAAGGACAACGCAGATACGTCAGGAGCACTCAGGTGACATAGATATGATTCTTGATAGAATCTGTATAAGAGACGCACGTAATGCGAACAGTGACGTGCGACGATGGAGGGAATTCAGGATTCTATCCGTCACAGTGCGCAAAGACTGCATTCGCAGCCTTTGCGCGAGGCTGCATGATGTCAGCCATGCTTGAAAATTGTGCAGTCACACCCCCGTATTCACCAACGCTCCTCGACTCGACTTTCGCCCTTCACTTGACAGAGTTGAGCACTCCGCCGCTGCTCGGCTCAAAAATCACGCTGCGCTGCTCGAGAATCGCACCCCATTATTGCTGATATGCAGTGACTTGCCGAGATTAGAGAGGGCGCTTCCATCGGCTTTCTCATACTCGGGAGAACTACCCCGAGTATTATCATAGATCCTTTCCTTGGCGATTTCCTGCTTAAAAGTTCCATAGATCTCTAGTGCGGACTTCTTCATCATGCCCATTTTCCACATGTCAGTCTCCGTTTCCTTCACTTTCTTGTTAACCGATAGTTCTTTTTGGTTTGGCCACCTGCTGTTTTCTAAGTATTTACCAGTCAACTTCCTGGTTCGCTTCCTCCATTTTGTATCGACATTCTTCATGTACAAGTAGCTGAAAACCTTCGTAGCCCAACGCTCCTCCTTCATTTCTCTCAATCGCTTCTCAAATTTTATCTTGCTGCAAGCTTCCCTGCCCTCAAATGATGTCCATCCCATATCACCTTGTACTCCCTGATTTGGTGTATTCCCGTGAGATCCTAAAGCCAGCCTACCTATTCCACGTTGCTTAATTTCTATCTTGCTTGAACTCCTGATCTCATGCACAAGACCGCATTGCCGAACGTCAGCCCGGGAACCATGACCCCTTTCCATATTCCTCTCACAACATCATACCTATTGTAATTCCACAGTGCCCTATTTTTTATCACTGCTGCATTCCTGTTACCTTTAGTCGTTACGTATATTTCGTGTTCCCTTAGGTACTCGGCCCCATTGCTTATACATACGCCCAGATATTTGTATTTATCTGTTATCTCCAGCGTGACCTCCTGTATCCTAAGCTCACTACCTTCGTTGTCATTGAAAATCATGACTGCTGATTTTTCCTTACTGAGTCTAAAATCTAACGTATCTCCCTCATTACCGCAGATGTCCATCAATCTCTGCAAATCTTCCTTGTTGTTGGCCATTAGCACTATATCATCTGCGTACTATAATGCTGGTAGTGCCTGATCAATAAGTTTTCCTTGTTTGACTAAAGAGAGGTTGAAACCCAGCCCACTTCCCTCTAATTTTGCCTCTAATCCTTGTAGGTACATCATGCATAATAAGGGTGACAGGGGGAACCCCTGCCTAAGCCCCCGTTTCACCTCTGCAGGCTTGGATACCTGTTTTTCCCACTTTATAACTACCTTGTTACCTTTATAGATACCCTTTATAGGATTAGTGACTACATATTCCACGCCTAGTCTGTCCAGTATTCCCCACGATTCCTCTTGAACCACGCTATCGTACGCTCCCTTGATATGCAAGAATGCTAGCCACAGGGGCCTGTGTTCCTTTTCTGCTATTTCGATGCACTGCGTCAGTGAGAACAGATTGTCTTCCAACCTCCTGTGTTTCCGAAACCCATTCTGCAGTTCCCCCAGCACCCCCTCATCTTCTATCCATGTCTGCAGTCTTTCCTTTATGATCTGCATCGCCAGCCTGTAGACCACTGATGTCACTGTTATAGGATGGTAGTTGTTTATGTCAGCTTTGTCCCCCTTTCCTTTATAGATCATGCTCATCCTACTAAGTTTCCATCCATCGGGAACTTCACCATCTATTATTATTTTGCTCACTGCCTCTCTCAAAGCCTGCTTAGACTTCGGACCTAATGTCTCTATCAGCCTAATTGGAATGCCATCTGGGCCGGTTGATGTACTACTAGGAACCCTTTTCTCAGCCCTTTTCCACTCTCGTTGTGAAAATGGAGCCATTGCACCACTTGATCCGTCCTTGTCTATTGTGGTGCATAAAGTGATTCTTTGTTGAAATTTTTCTGTCACCCTTGTTCTTATATATTCAATAGCTTCGTCCCCTTCCAGCCTGGTACCTTGGGCTGTAGTTATAAAACTCTGCTCTAGGCTCGTCTCATTTCTTAGGGAGTTTAGATGGTTCCAAAATTTCGCAGCTGCCTTTCTATCTTTTTTATGTACTTCTGCCAGCCACTGAGCTTCTTTTCTTCTAATCTTTTCATTGATCAGAAGGGATGCAGCCCTCCTTCCCACTTTCACTGCTCTTCCAAAACTTAGCTTGATACCTTTGTGATCACTACCCAGACTTCTAGAGCCACCTTCATCTATGTGCATTCCCCTGAGCTTATCATGCATCCTATGTGATATCAGTGCATAATCTATCGTCGACTGGAGCCTTTCTACCTCCCATGTTATTTGCCCTTCACACTTCTCGGTACTGTTGCAAATGATCAAATCAAGCCTTTCACACATATCCATGATCATTTTGCCTGTCGGGTCGGTATACCCATCTATATCTTCTATGTGCGCATTCATGTCTCCTAGTATAATTATCTCGCACTCTCTTCCTAACTCCTGAATGTCCTTTGATATGCACTCTACCATTGCCTGGTTTTCTTTTCTGGCCTTTGCTCCCGTCCACAAGTACACGAAACCAAGGAGTGTCATTTGACCTGCCACTTTCCCTTTTAGCCACAAATGTTCCTTGCACTCCTGCTTGACCCTTTGCCAGTCTGTACTTTTATGAATGAATGCCCCAATACCACCCCCCTTTCTGCTGCCTTCTGTTCTATTACAATATTCCCACGCGTAGTCCGGATTGTTCGGAGGTTCTTCCATGTCCCTGAGATGTGTTTCTACAAAACCGTATACCATCGGCCTCCCCTCCCTTAGCTGTTCTTCTATCTCTTCCCACTTCAGCCTGTTCCTACCACCCTGCATGTTAATATACCCTATGTCTGAATGGGCTCGGCGCTCATGGCTACGTCTATTTATGCCCCGGACTCTACCTATCTTAGACATTGGTGCCACTTTGGAATCGTATCTGTCCATAACACCTGTCGAAGAGTCTCCCTGGTTGTTGTCCTCGTTACTAGCTATACTGCACCCCGAAGGGCTCGCTTGCCCCCCAAAAAAGCTACTGCGCGTCCTGCAAGTCACCAACCCACCTCATGACCTAGCCGCCCATCGAAGTGAATTCTGTCTCGTTGAAAACCACCCCACCTATGCACCTCTCTGTTTATTTCCACCACCTCAAACCCTTTCTCTTGACTCATCCGCCATATCTCTTGGTTTGCGTTGACCACCGCTCTATGCAGGTTGCTATCACGCACCGGTACCTCTGGTATCGGGCATATCACTACCTGTACCTTAGGAGAAGTGGCCCGCATGTCATCGACGCCTTTCGCCAGTGTGGCTGCTAGTCCTGCTGTATCTTCATTTAAGACATCATTTAAACCACCTGAAATTATCACGAGGTTTCGTCTATCAGCTGTAGTTTTGAGTTTTGCGCTCGCTTGCTTCTTGACTGCTTCCAGCTTGCGCCCTGGGAACGCCCCTACTGCAACCCTCTTGTCACCTCTTGTTCTCTACTGTTTGAGGCGAGGACGGGAGTACTGCGAACCAAGACATATCGGGCCAAATACGAAGGGGTAGACACAGTATGCAGTGCGTGTGGAGAGGAAAAAGAAACTGCCGAACGCTTGATAATGTTCTGTAAAGGGCTTTACTCTATAGTTCAGGATGATGGCGCAGAGTTTTTCAAAACACTGGGGTTTAGGACCGGGAGGGCAAAATAGTATTAAAGCAAGTAGACTTAACCAAAAGCAGGTTATCTGATTGGTGGCTAAAGTCAAGACACGAGTGAAAATTAAACTCTTCACTGCAAAGTACGAATCCTCAGACTCACTTTTTAAGGAAAAAAAATAAATAAATATAGTTTTGGGTTCATTAAGTATTACGGCTTGGTGGCGCTAGCCACCGCCCGATCTAAAGGGTACAGCCATATCCATCCATCCATCCATCTATCAAGTGAAGGTGAAGCGTTGAGTAAAGGGACGTTCTAGAATACGGGGGACAGAGTCCTTCGTGAGCCCAACATGCATATCCATCAGCAAATTCATTACAGGTAAAGATAGCCCTCCAGAACTTCGTGGTTATGCACACGTCGTAAAATGCGTGCTTTAATAGCCTTTCTTTTTTGTTTGTCCCACTTACAGGCTACAGTGATGCTGCAGTTTCCGACACAAGCGCAGAATCTTGTGCAGTGCAAATGCATCGACAACCTCGACGTGAGCAGCATGAGCAAGTTGCTAATTGGCGGATCCACCACACCCACCATAGTGGCGCAAAGTATCATAGAGAAGTTAAAATTGAAAGCCTTCCGACATAGTACGTTCATTTTGCTCGTTTACAGCTCGGCCACTGCTCCATTATTTTTCGGCCGTAATAGCTAACGTAGCTTTTTAAGTGAGTTATTATCAAAAATAGTTTGCATTGCTGAAGACTGCCTTCGACATTCTGCGTAGAAAAAGTTCGTGCCAGGAATGGCAGCCTTTCTGCTTATATTTTTTTCTTGCAGCCCACTGATGAAGTGCTGATACTGTGGAAAAATCAAATAGGAGTACACATCGATGCGAATGTTTCTATTAGTATGCGAATGATTTTTCTTCTGGACTAAAGTAAGGTTGTGCCCTAATTATAACAAACACCCAACTAGGTCATACTGCTATTTCATAATGTGAAACTATCTAACAACAAACTCTTGACTATGACGCCTATTGTTAATTTGTTTTTTCGACTGTGGAATGTGTGAAATAACTTGAGTTTACCTTATTAATTACGTTTCTGCCATGTCATTACGTTAAACTAAACTAAAACGAATCATTACAGAAAGGTGCTATCTATTGAAACGTGGTTGGCCGTAGTTGGCATATACCTGGTGTTCAAAAATATGCGTCATGGTTTTCTAAATATCCAGGTACGTGCAAACCATCTTTCCACATAATGTATGTATTCAGGGGGACACCGCGGAGGCAGTAATCGACAATTACCATTTAACTAATATGAATAATGAGCCGTTTAGTGACTGCAGTAATAGGACATGTTTGTGATGAAAAATTGGAGGCAGTTCTAATTCTTCACAATTGCACTTCGAAAAATGTTCCTTGCATTTCTGTACAAACATATATTTTTCTGCAAAGTTTATTAGTAGTCGGAATGATTCCGCATGCAGGGCAGTGAAGTCTGGCACAAAGCTCCTCCCTAATGTGCCGCGGCAGATGCGGACACTGTTCAATCTGACAACAAGTCGAAGTAAAAATTGTGAACGGTTACTCATTTTACTGCGTGCTGGCGATAGCAAAAAATGATTCTCGTTACTTCAATGAGTAGCAATGCGCCAATACTCAACGCCTAGCGTGCATAATCATGTAGCCAGAATATTGTTTTGCCGGAATCAACGTTTCGACAAGGGACTCTGACGATGTTCACACCCTTGTTGAGACGTTGTCTCCCGCGACGTTCCTCGTTTAACGATTTTATTCTCGTACTTTGAAGCCTATCTGGTTCCGTAAATTTAAATTTTTAATGGATTACTAGCGTTGGCTTTTTTGTACTAAACCTTACATTATGCAGTAGTGGTGTCGATAACATGTTAGCAGTTTCAATGACATGTTAGCAGTTTCAATATACCACTTATAAGAGTCATTATAACGTAAGTGTCTTGGTAACCTGCGATATGTTTACAGAACATTGAGCTACCCAATGTGGTGATAAATTGACCCAGGGTTATGACCACCTCGAACCTTGAACTCCCCACTGCAAAGGCTGGGCAAAAGGGCTGAACTTGATGCTAACCGTTCTGTATAAGACTACTGGTGATAACGCCCATACATGTACAGACAGTATTCGCACGTTTTTGTATTGTATGGCTGGTTAGTGTTCAGTGAATTTGTTATTGCTTTTAAATGCATAACGTTCCTTAGCGAACTAGGTGACTTTGAGCGTATGTATATATATATATATCTATATATATATATATATATATATATATATATATATATATATATATATATATACATTGTTGGCTTGCTGCAAATGTTTATAACGCCAGGCTTTGAAGTGCACATTAAATAACAAATATCTGATCCTCGACCGTCGTATATATATATATATATATATATATATATATATATATATATATATATATATATATATATATGTGTGTGTGTGTGTGTATGTATGTATGTATGTATATCACCCCCTTAACCGGGCGTGAATCAAAATTAGCATGGGAGGGTAAGATGCCTTGACGAATATGACGCTCTAGTCAAGACATGAAAACTGTCACAATCCCGTCGCGTACGTCGTCCAAAACTTTCGGCCAGGCAGTGGCACATACCTACAGGCGACCATGTGCCGCTGGTATGCAGGTATGGGCCAAAGACGATTGACACTTAGTATTTACCCAGCAACGACGAGAAGACACATGGGCAATTTCAACGCGTGATTTTTAAGAAATTCCCGACATCGGTGGTGTCAACCCGATGAATGCAAAGAATAAATGTCAGGGTCCCAGCTTGAATTGAACCCTAGCATTCTACGTGGCAATTAAGCATTTTATTACAGAGCTACGCCAGGTCTCTGAACTATTTTTCGAATAGACGCTAATCTTCTTGACACATCAATAGTGGTTGCGGTGCTGTTTACTCAATTTTGTAAACATTGGATATGTACTCCTTTGATACAGCCGTCACGTTGGGTTAACGTCAGTTGTGGTTAGTTTCCGTGCGCTCAAGTTGATTTATGTAGCACTGCCCAGGGTCAGCATCCTAGCAAGTGTCATCGCTTCATATCAGGTTCTGGCGTTGCCTATACGCATGTTCCAGTTGACATCATTGCGCAAGTACAAACAACTGGTTATATAAACATCTGCAACTTTTAAACATAAGTTTCTGCGCTCCAGCGTTGGTGCGTGCAACAATCGTACATATAATTTGCGTCATTTCATGACGTGTCCTTCAAAAAAACCATTACCACATGGTCACCTTTCCTCAGCATGCTTCGCATAACGTCTATTCCCAGATACATGGGATCTGCCATTTTTTTAAACGTTGCTCGAGTAAACCTTTTAGAATTTGAAGACAGTCGGCTTCAAAGACGTCTTCATTCTCTCCCTTTTGTTCTAAACGTATGAAATGTTATTGTAATAATAATTGTTCGGATTTTATTTCCCAAAACCACCGTATGACTGAGAGAGGCCATAGTTCAAGGCTCCGACAGTTTCGAGCAGCTGGAGTTCTTCAACGTGCACCTAATTACACGGTCCTCAAGCCGGGATTCGATCCCGTTACCTGCGGGTCAGCATGTTGAGCATCACAGCCTTTAAAAAACCGCACCAGGTGATGTAAAAAAGAAGGATCTTCTTGAAAGTGTAGTGGTTGCGTGCATTCTATAAGAAAAATTTTCAACAAGGCAACTACGTAAAACTTTAGGCACGTTTACTTGACTAGGAAAATAAGGTATCACACTGACAAGCACTTTCATAAAAGAAAGTAAGGTAGGTGCGTGTCAACTTTTTCACATTCAACTTTTTTTAACATTCAACGGCCCCTAAATCATGCACCCCGATTTCAAAGGAAAGACTGTAGATTCATTTTTGCCTTGCTGCAATCGCTATCCCCTCGTCGCCGCTTATTGCTTGATAAAACATGTTCGATGTCTGCACTAAGCGTTGCGGTGCACGTTAAACCCCAGGTGGTCAAAATTTTCGGAGCTCTTCCAACGGCGTCTCTCATAATCATATGGTTTTTGGATCCCACATATCTATCTGCACGAAGCGTTGAGCTGGTTTACTTGCTATCTCTGCTTGCGCAGCCGCGAATGCAGAACACGAAGTGAAATCAGTTTATCGTGCACAATGGTCGGCAATAAAAGTCGGAACGTGCACGCGACGGCATGGTAAAGCAGAGTACAAAACAATTCACAACAGATCATAATCATCATCAGCCTGACTAAGTCCACTGCAGGACAAAGGCCTCTCCCCTGTTCCAGGTCCTGTGCTTGCTGCTGCCAATTTATATCCGAAAACTTCTTAATCTCATCTGCCCACCTAACGTTGTCTCCCTCTAACCGGCTTGCCATCTCTAGGGATCCAGTTAGTTACCCTTAATGACCAGTGGTTATCCTGTCTACGTGATACATGCCCGGCCCATGCCCATTTCCTCTTCTTGATATCAACTATGATACCCTTAACCCCGTTTGTTCCTTAATACACTCTGCTTTTTTCTTGTCTTTTAAGGTTACACCTATTATTTTTCTTTCCATTGCTCGCTGCGTCGTCCTCAATTTGAGCGGAACCCTCTTTGTAAGTCTCCAGGTTTCTGCTCCATAGCAAAGTCCTGGCAAGATGCAGCTGTTATATACCTTCCTCTTAACGGATAGTGACAATCTACCTGTCATGATTTGAGAGTGCTTGCCAATTGTGCCAAATTTGCTCCAACCTATTCTTATTCTTCTAGTTACTTCAATATCATGGTTCAGCTCCGTGGTTATTACCTGCCCTAAGTAGACATAAGCTTTTACAACTTGAATTGTACCACTACCTATCTCGAAGCGCTGCTCTCTTCCGAAGTTGCTGTACATTACTTTCGTTTTCTGCAGATTTTAAGACTCACCTTTCTGCTGTCCTTGTCTAACTCCGTAATCATGAGTGGCGATTCGTCCCCTGAGTTACTCTGCAATGCAATGTCATCAGCGAAGAGCAGGTTAAGGTACCCTCCATTAACTTTTATGCCTAACTGTTCCCATTCTAGTCTTCTTAAAACCTTTCAACTGAAGCGTCAGCATGGCTGGATTAGGCGCGTAAGCCTGTACCACCTTCACCTTGTACCTCTTATTGAGTTTAATTACGATACCTGCCACCCTTTCATTGATTTTATAGTATTCCTCTATGTTGCCAGCCATGTTTCTGTGGATAAGGAACCCCACTTCTAGTTCTCTTCTGTCAGCCAAGCCCCGATAGCAAAGAACGTGCCCGTTCTCTAGCACTGTATAGGTCTCATCTGTACTCCTGACCTCACTGAGCCCTATTACATCCCATTTAATGCCTTTTAGCTCATCGAATAGTACCGCTAGACTTGCCTCACTAGATAAGGTTCTAGCGTTAAACTTTGCCAAGGTCCGGTTCCAAGGGCGGCCTGTCTGGATCCGCAGATTCTTAGCACCCTCTGCTGCGTGGCAGATCTGGCCTCCGCCGTAGCCAGTTGCTTCGCAGCGGCTGGGGACTGAGGACCGTGAGGTAATTGACGTATGCATGTGGGAGGCAGTGGCCAGATACTGCACCAAGAAGGCCAATCCTTCTCTGGTGAGGGAATGTATTACCGGTGGTGGTCACCGGTGAGGCCGCACCAAAGGCCTCCTAATGCAGTTCCATGTTACGCAGATTTTTTTTTACCCGGTTGGGAACTGCGCGGCACCGGCATTCGAGCCACGGACCTCTTGCATGCGAGGCGGATGCTCTAACCACTACGCCATCGCCATCGCAACAGATACCTCTCGTACATTGACTAATCGAGAGGTTATTCCGTCGGACATCACGTTAACAAACTGTTGACGTTACGAATTGTGACGCGAGAACGGAAAACGCTATGAGAGATGATACACGGCGTCCTACTTCAAATGCGGCTGCGGTGGTCGAAAGTAGAACCTGCATCCTCGAACTCGGCAACGCAACGCCATGGTCACAGGTATTGAGTGTGCACGCGTGCGCTCACGTAAATTGGAGCAACACTCCAGTTCAGCTGGCTGGGATGACGATGATATATGTGGTTCAACGTCTGCCTCAAAACCAACACATTATTATGGTCGTCGTAGTGGAGGGCCCCGAAAATTTCGACCACCTGGGGTTCCTTAACGTGACCCAAATCTCAGCACACGGGCCTACAGCATTTCCGCCTTAATTGAGAATTCAGCCGCCGCAGCCGGGATTCGATCCCGCGACCTGCGGGTCAGCCGCCGAGTACCTGACCCACTAGAAAACCGCGGTGGGCTCATGCTGGCTGTGTAAAATGTTTCTCTCAACCAAGTTTCTAGTTGCCCTGTTCAAGTTTTATTGAGGTGATCCTACAGTGATTATTATTGTTTCCTCTTCTCTTCGTTTCTGTACAAGTTTTCGGCATGAGCGAAACGTGTGGCAGCATCACAGTTACCCCAACTGGTATTGATGACTACGAAAGCGTTGGGAAGCCTGTTCCATTGACGCACATAAAGGTAAGCTAAAATGTTTTCATTTCACTTTTTACCATTGTGCCTTGCGTCTGCAAGGTACAATGGTAAAATTGTTGTGCCGGGTTGCCCACTTTTTTTTTACAATGCTGTCGTGCAGCGGTTTGCCGTTTCTGTGAATACTTCTTACGAAGCCCTAGTCACGACACCGTGAAAATAGTTTCTACAGTCACCCCAACGACAGATACGTTTTTAGTTACTTAACTCATGACCCAATGGGGAGCTCGCCATTCACACATAGCGTAGTTGTCGTGAGGTCGCGGATCACACTAGTTTTCTTTTTTTTCTTCCTTGTCGCTGCTCAATGCGTGACAGCATTGTGTAAACGGTTTTAACTTTGCTTTAATACAAGCACACAACTTTCAAATTACGTGTATGATTCCCTACCAATTAGTCTACGACAGAGACTGCTCCCTCGTCTATTTTTTGTAGGGTAATTATGTGCATTTATTCCTTGGGCGTGTTGGCCAGCGCCACTAGAAGCCAAAGCGGTGAGAGGAGAGCAAGCTCCTTTTCCCAGAGGGTGTCCCGTTGCACGTTATCTTCGCATGAGGTGGCAGCTGACCAATAAAACCTCGCGTGCTATTTAAAGCATCAAGTCTGCAAGTACGAAGCCCTCGATGTGGCAGAACGAAGAAAAAAGGGACCAGTTGGAGTGACCCTTTTCTGAGTAATAAGAGAGATAAAGAATTGTTTTATTTGAAAGCTCGAGATGTTTTTTCTGGCTTTTTGCCTGACATGCTGCTCCAGGTACTGGGGCATGAGATGACTATCACATATACAGTGATAAAAAACCTAACACATACAGTCACCCACACGCACTGCACAATTTACAATGTTTCGTTCAGGCTTGTGTCCTGAAGAGTCTGAGCAGCGCTTTTGTGGTATGTAACGCACTGGAGCTGCTCTGCCATGGGCCTAGAATATGTGTCAACTCCAAGTTCCCATTGTAGTGTTAAGGCCGTCTTCAGCGACTCTCCCGCTGGTGTGTATATCGTGTACTCACCGAGGACGTGATCGTTGTCTTCTAGGACGTTACATTGGACATACAGTGGCGAGTCCAACAGTTCGATTTCGTTCCTAAAGTAATTGGTATATGCAACACCTAATTGAATGCGGTATAAGCATGTTTCGTCTGGCCTGTTGGTGTCTCATGCAATACCGATATAGGGTAATGATTTTGCGCTCATCTTAACGGAATTAAACTGATCGAAAAATCAACCTTTACGCCGGTGAGATCCCACCGATGAAAACAGATGACAGAGTTCATTTTTTAATGCGTGCAAGTCGTCTGAAAACTAACTAAATAGATTTTCAATTACTACAGAGTTTTAACTGCGTTAATTATTTACACAGCAGTCTAACAAAGCAGCACACATCGAAGCATATAATTTGTTTCCTGTCAACGCTCAAACAGCCATTGGAAAATCTTTCCTGTGTTGTTAGCGGATAACCGCTGCTGACCGGATTACCACCTCAGTTTGAAGAATAAACATTAAAAATAGAAAAGTCATCGTTAAGCTTCATCAGCGATTTCAACGCTGCGTGCGACATGTGCAATTTTCGGCAAGGATGTTCACAGCTCTGTCTTCAATCTGAGAAATGTGGTCTGTGACCAATCCAAAGAGGTTTTAGATTGTATAAGAAAAATTTCTAAAGGTCCTAATCATATTCCAATTCATATTCACCCAAAGCTGCTACATTCTAGTGCCGAATGAGTGTGAATATGCTCACTGGCCGGGCTTCACACGAAACGTCATATATGGTGGAATCAAGGGGGTCCCTGTCTACTTTAACGGCCCCACTTTGTCCAGTTCATTTCGTTGTATCCTGGTTCACACTGCAGGTCTTGTCATCATGCAGCACGTAAGCCAACTACCCCTGCTAAGTCCTCTTGTGCTTTCTCGCAGCCCAGCAGGTGCTTAAAGAAATTAAACACCGCTATTTATTTTAAATGTGAAATATTTCTTGGAAAACTAAAGGCACTTTGAGCGTTTCAATATTTTATCTGGCCGTCTGCGTCCGGACACGACTCTCACGAACATGACACTCTGCTCATGGTCAGGAACAGCCACGGTCACGTGTGTGTAGAGTGCGCGAGCAACCTGTTTTCGTTGACATCAGATTTCGCAGTTGGGAAATCTGATGTCAACCTGACTACTACGCCGCCCATGCTCCTGACACACCCCGCCGGAGCCAGAAACTGGCTCAAGGTGTCGCCTTGCAGGGCGAACACCGGCTTCTCGCGCGCTCTACACAGACGTGGCCATGGCTGTACGTCATAAAACCCTTTCCTCCTGTCCTGTGCAACACATACTCGTATACCATGGGCAGTGGTATACGTAGACATGATCCAAAGGGTATTCGCAGTTTATACGTACCTAGAAACGGCGAGAACAATGTTAATTTAAATGCAATGGCAATTTAAATGCAATGAAAGCTGGAGAGGACTTCTCCAGGACTTAGCAAAATTTAGTACCTACCTACTCAGCATTAACAAAATGTGGCATAGGCCACGTTGACCCAACGAATGCAAAGGAAACAATCAGGATTACAGCAGTGATTTGACTTATAGTCATTCTGCATGGCATTCATTTATTCTACCGCAGAGCCAAGCCTGGTCTTGAAATGTCTTCGGAGAAGGTTCTATGCAAGAGTGATGTTGGCGCAACGTAAATTGTGATTACAGTACTGGCTATCTGATTTATGAAGAATGTAATAAATGCTACAAGTATGCTCTTGCTATACAGCCGTCATCATTTTACACAGCTGCTACAGGGTCTATTTAACGTCAGTTGTGGTTTCAATACTGCCCCCGTTTTTAAAAGCGTAATAAACATTGCACACTGTCGTTCTTTATGAAAGAGAACACGCGAATGCGTGGCCTGGGCTCTGCGGCGGCTGCCTACGGCACCATCAACCGACAAGGGAACAAAGCACGTTCGCTTTTGGCGTCATCTATGGCCAATCAAAGTAACGAGTGATTACCGGTAGACAAGCGCTACTAGATTGTTTCCGCGGTGAGCGATATCAGGCGATTACTGCAGTTTGAGTTGTGGCCGCGCACAATTTTTGATATGTTAGCAGTGGACTACACAGTGCAGGCGTGAGCAGAGAGGGAGTGCAATCTAGCAGCGCTTGTCTACCGACCGTAACTCGTTATTTATTTTTTTTGCAACAGATGACGTTGAAAGCGAACGTGTTGGCTTTTGCTATCGGTAGATGGTCCTGTAGGCAACCGCCGCAGAGCGCAGGCCACGCGTTCGCGTGTTTCCTTTCATAAAGGACGACAGTGTACATGTATCCATATAAACTTTTCTAGCGCGCACAAAAAGCTGGAGAAGAAAGAGACAGACGAGTGGTGATCTGTTTTTCTGGTCCAGTGTTTTTGTGTGTGTGTGTGTGTGTGCGCGCGCGTGCTAAAGAAGTTCCCATGGATGCATACCAACTCGCCCAGCAATTCCTTTTATTGTACATGTACCCCTATGACTCACCATGCTATATTTAAACGTTTCTCGGCCACAGAGAAACACGCTAAAGAATCCTACGTATGATATTCACATCATCGCACCGTAGCGTGAATTTTGTTTTGATAAAGCTTACGCGTCCTCTAACATGCGCGCTGATGTTACCATGACCATGAGTTACATTTTAAGCGCTCATGAAGTCAATTTGCCTTGTAAGCTGACGATAGACACACAACTTCTCGTTAGAAAAAAAAAAGACGTCGATTTAGTCGTAACGCTTGGTTCAAATAAAAAAAATGCTGCATGGACTATAACTGGCTATATCTTGTGCAACCGAATCCCACAATGCATTGGATCTGCCCTTTTTATCTTAATTAGCTAGGATTTCTACTTTGTGATCAGTTCATTTGCTGTCCCTTGATGAATTTCTTTCTATTTTCTTCCTCATCTCTCTCTCACTCTCTCTTCAATCTTCGTTTTTTGTTATTGTTATACAGTGAGTGTGATACAGCACTCATCTGCCACCATTTTTAGGTTGTCGACGTGGAAACTCGCGAAAAGCTTGGACCCCGCGAGAACGGCGAAATCTGTGTGAAGGGCCCATACTGTTGCCTCGGCTACCTGAACAAGCCAGAGGCGACCAAGAACCTATACGACGATGATGGTTTTATTCAGACAGGTGATTTTCAATGGCATCTTTGAATGTATTCATCTGCCTGATCTAGAGCAGTATTGTGTTCATTAGCAGCCTTTACTTAAACACTGAGCGAGATGGTTGAGTCGGCTAGTAGGCATGTCGTCACAAAGTGCCCGCAATGCAAGTAACAGCGTATTAAACCACGTGATTGGTTGGGCATACGTGATTGATGACCTCTCACACTGAGCGAAGTGCTTGAATACCGTGTTCACGCCCTCACAAACAGGCGCGTGCGGTGAGCGTGCTTCGACATTTTTTGGTGGGCACAAAGCTAACGAACCGTCTGTTACTGACATTACCGTTTCCCTTCGTCATGTAGTGATAATACCTGAAGCATTTCACGGTGCGTTTCTGTGCAAGTGCGTTAAATGTATATACTCCATTCAGTGTGATCTGGCCAAACGTTCGTTTTTCGTTTGACCGCTAAAACATTGTAACTCGACGATTCTATGTGAACGCACTGCTTTTAATTGTGATTTTTTTTCAATTTTAGAAAATTTTATATTTATTTTTTTAATTTTATATCAGTTTCCGATTGTAAACATAGGCGGCTCTAACTCAGCTTGCCTGTCCATGTTTTCACGTCTATATAAAACAGCCTATCCCGGTGGATACCTCTGTATTTTCTGAATTATTGTTATTGTCCCAAATCAACTGAATTGTAGTGTATGTGCATCTGTGTTCATTTGCGCTAACAAATGGTGACTTTACCACGTCGAGAAAAAATTCCAGTGGGAGAAGTATGTGATAAATGCGCTCCTTCTGTGCAGGCGACATCGGCTACTATACGGAGGATGGCAAGCTCTACGTAGTGGACCGCATAAAGGAGTTAATAAAGTGTATGGATCAGCAAGTGGCGCCTGCAGAACTTGAGGACTTGCTTGTGCAGCACGATGCTGTCAAAGAGGTCGTCGTGACGGGCGTTCCTCACCACGAGTACGGAGAGGCCGCGCGGGCATTCGTCGTGCTCTTCCAGAAAGAGGCCGCTAGCGACACACTCCAGCAGGAGCTCGCAAAACTGGTTGCGGGTAGGCTTTGTCAAGGCTACAACATAAAGTTTCCTAATTTCGACTATTAATTTCGACTGCAAAACAATTGTTTTGGCCATGCGTAAAATTATATTCGCATGTGTGAAACAAAAAAAACAAAATATTGCACATAAAACTTGCCACATGCAATTTTCGTAACTAGACCAAATTTTGCGTGGACCCGATGATTGAACCTAAAAACCATTTCCACAATAAGATAGTCACTCTGCTAAATGATTGTAGCGATGTGGGATAGAAAATGTTATTAAAGCATGGGGTATTGCATATATTTATAAACTGCTTTAGCACTTGTGACATCACTAAATAGCCAGAGACGCGTGGCGGCAGTAAGCTGGTGTAAGAAGCTTCAGCTTTCCTTTACTTCACTGCGACCGTAAATTTCACGTATCATCACACCACATTTCATGAACTTATTTCTCAAAGTTAATAGTGAGCTTTTGAATAGAGGCCCCGAAGTAATAGCTTCAAGGCCACTGCGCATGCGCAAATCCCAAATCGCGCTTGGGTTATAGGTTGCATGGGGACACCATTTCTCGAATTTAGTGGGAGCCCCAAAGCCCCCCCCCCCCCCAAAAGCTTTGCATCAGACAATCGTGATGGCACCCACTAAAGTGGCATGACCAAAGATTGGGAGAGTATCCAAAGTGCCGCAGACCCTATTCGAAAACTCTTCGCTCCTGCTTGGCTCAAAGCGTGCATACGCAAAGCGCTTTGGGGCCCCAAACTCGTGGGGCCCCTATTCGAAAACTCCCTATTATCTTGAAATGATGCAGCGCTAGGCAGTGCGTGCTGGCCTAAACGCCTGCATGCACCTTTCGCCGATGGTTGAATTCGCTCATTAAACCAATTGGAATATTGCTACGTAGCTGACATATCAGGGATCAGAAGACAACAAGGAAGCGGTCTATCGGTTGTGCGTGCTGTCCTCCATCTTAGTCGATGATATACGCATCAGTTTCAGTATAGATTTTAAATAGACACACCTCGTCTCATTTTTACGTAACATCTTTGTGGTGGACGTGCTGGGTACTTCCCTGTCTTCATCGCGAAGCTCCGCAACGGCTGCATCATCATAGGTCCAACCATGTCACAGGTTGAACAACCATCGTCATCGCCACCTGCCCCTACCGTGACTTCTACGAACGTCGTTCTACCTCGTGCTCGTGCTCCCGGTGTATTTTACGGTCAGGATGGCGTTGACGTCGACAAATAGATCAACCGGTACGAACGGGTCAGCGCAAGCTATAGGTGAGACCCGACTCTTATGCTTGCCAATGTGCTTTTTTACCCCAATCGCCCACCGCGGGTGTGGTTCGAGACGCACGAAGCGGAGATTACAAGCTGGGACGCCTTTAAAGAGAAGATACGCGACCTTTTTGGCGACACCGTTGGGCGGCAGGTCACAGCGCGGAATCAACTGGCGGCTCGGGCACAGACGTCGACGGAGCTGTACGTCGCGTACATTCACGACGTCATCGCCCTATGCCGCCAGATTGACGAGCATATGAGTGAGTCTGAGAAAGTGGCCCATGTGCTGAAAGACAAAGCAGACGGCGCCTTTATTCTTCTAGTATACAACGTTGCCACCACCGACGCCATCATTAAAGAGTGCCGGCTGCTCGAAGAAGCCACAAGCCACCGTATTACTCAGCGATTCACCCGGCTGCCCAACACGGCCGCAACCTCATCGTGAGAAGCCAGCCGCCAGTCCCCCACGTATGACAACGTCACGCGCATTGTTCGTCGGGAAATCGAAGCCGCCCCTCCGGCTCCTCTTCTGCCACCCGTTTTTGATACGCTCGCCTCTGACCAACAACAGCCGTCAGTGGCGTTAATACAAGCTGTGGTGAGGCAGGAGTTTGCGAACCTCGGCCTTCCATCAGCATGTCCCTTGACTCGCCCTGAAGTCCCGTATTACTCCTCAGGACACGCTCACCGTTCACCTCCAACAATGCCCGTCCATAACCCTTCGAAAAGGCAAACACCCGATAATCGGCCTATTTGTTTTTTCTGCCACTAGCCTGGGCACGTTTCTCGCTATTGCCGCCGCCGTTGGTCAAACCAACCACGTCATACCTTCTCTACCTCGGCGCACATTCACCCGACGACTGCTCGACGTTCAGTCGCCGCACCCTTCAATCGTCATCTTACGAGCCTTCCACTGACGGCCCTTCGTCCGGTCGCCGCAGCTCCCACACCCCGACTCCGCTGCATCGCCAATCCCGCCCTCCGCCACCTCAGCGCTTTTCCTCGCCTAGCTTCTCTGGACGACCGCAGCAGGAAAACTAGATATTGCAGCTTATAGAGGTGAAGCTGCAATACCAATGACGGCCGAAAATTCTCTGCTGACACTTCCCACCCACCACAGTCTGCTTGAAGTACAAGTCGACAATGTTCCTGTGACCACCCTCATTGACACAGGTGCGAACCTGTCTATTATTAGCGCTTCTCTACGCCAGCGCTTGCAAAAGATTATGACGCCGTCTACGACGCAGGCAATACGTGTTGACGATGGCAGTACCTTACCAGTAATCGGAATGTGCACTGCTCGTGTCAGCATTGCCGGCCGTCACGCCGTGGTCCTTCTTGCCGTGCGAGCCTCCTGCCCTCGTGACCTCATACTTGGCCTTGATTTCCTTTCGGCACACTTAGCCTTATTTGATTGTTCGTCTGGTACCCTCAGCCTCGATATCCCAATCTTTGCCGACTACTGTGCAAACCCCCCCAGCCGCTTAAGCCCAACCACTTTCGTTCGCCTGCCACCTCGAGCCGTCACGTACGTGTCTCTGTCATCGGCCCCTCCCGTTCCTGACGGTGATTATGTCGTTACGCCGATTACTGACGTTGTGCTGACGCACAGTGTTACTGTGCCCCATACCATTGCGACCATAGCGGATAACTGTGCGTTATTTCCGGTCCTTAACTTTAGCTTCACCCCTCAAATGTTGCCCTGCCAGATGTCTCTTACCCAGCTAACTGCCATAACAGAGGACGATGTCAGTGTTGTCGTTGTATCTGCTCCTGATCGAAGCGCAGTCTCACGGTCACCCAGCTCGGACGATGCTATTTTTCGAAACATGGCAATATCGGAGCTTTCGCCTCACCAGGCCGACGCTCTCTGCCAGGTTTTGGCCTCATACAGTGAGATTTTCGACGCAGACAATCGGCCCTTGGGCCGGACTAAAATTGTCACTCACCGTATCAACACTGGTGACTCTGCGCCTATATTCACCGTTGGCCGTACCGCGTGTCAGCGTCCAAGCGAGAAGTGATTCAGAAAGAAGTGGCCAAAGTGCTTACGAAAAACGTAATCAAACCATCATCGAGCCCTTGGGCATCTACCGTGGTATTAGTAAAAAAGAAAGACAGCTCATGCCGTTTTGGCGTTGATTATCGCCACCTCAACAAAATTACCAAAAAAGGCGTGTACCCTCCACCACGCATTGACGATGCCCTCGATTGCCTTCATGGCGCCACCTTTTCATCTCTCGACCTCCCATCTGGCTACTGGCAAATTGCTGTAGATGACATGGACCGAGAAAAGACCGCCTTCGTTACCCCTTATGCTCTTTACCAATTCAAGGTCATGCCCTTCGGTCTCTGCAATGTTCCAGCGACCTTCGAGAGAATGATGGACACGCTCCTACAAGGATTAAAATGGTCGACATGTTTGTGTTACCTTGACGACGTGATCATTTTCTCACCTACCTTCGCAACCCACCTTGAACGCCTTTCGACCATTCTATCTATATTTGAACGGGCCAGCCTGCAGCTCAAGTCTTCCAAGTGCCACTTTGGTCTTCGTCAGATTACCGTGTTGGGTGACCTTGTTGGCGCTGCTGGCGTACGACCAGTTCCGGCGTAAGTACGCGCTGTAAAAACTTCCCAGTCCCACGCTCTGTCCATGATGTTTGCAGTTTCGTGGGCTTCTGCTCCTACTTTCGCCTGTTCGTGAAAAACTTTGCGGCACTCGCACGGCCACTCACAAACCTTCTTAAACAAGACGTCCCATTTTGTTGGAGCCCTGTTCAAACGGACGCCTTCTCACAGCTAATCACCGCTCTAACGACACCTCCTATTGCACATTTCGACCCCGCTGCTCCTACAGAAGTGTGAACCGACGCGAGTGGTCATGGAATTGGTACAGTTTTGGTGCGAATTCAGCGGGGCAACGACCGTGTAATCACGTATGCAAGCTGCCTGCTTTCTAAGTCTGAACGCAGTTACTCTATAACAGAACGGGAATGTCTCGCCCTTGTCTGGGGGGTTTCGAAATTCCCTCTTTACTTGTATGGCCGCCCATCCAAGTAATCACAGATCATTACGTGCTGTGTTGGCTTTCTTCTCTGAAGCACCCCACTGGACGACTTGGCCGTTGGGCGGGAGTTTTCCTACTCGGTTGCTTATAAGTCTGGATGTCTCCATCTGGACGCCGATTGCTTATCCCGCTATCCTGTTGATCAGGCCGACGAATTAGACATCGAGCCTAGCCCCAGCGTCATGTCAATGTCCTAGTTTCTTCAGATTGGTGATGAAAAACATCATGATGCTTCTCTGCGACAACTTATTGACCGTCTTGAATCTGCTCCGAACGACCCGTCGCTTCGCATGTACGTCCTCCTGAATGGCACGCTGTACCGTCGTAGCCTCCAGCCAGATGGCCCTGAGCTCCTTCTTGTCATGCCGAAACATTTGCGTTGAACCGTGCTGCACGAGCTTCACGATGAACCAACTGCTAGTCATCTGGGTGTATCTCGGACGTACGACCATGTGCGTCGCCGCTTCTTTTGGCGCGGTCTCGCCCGGTACGTTCACTGTTACGTGTCCTCCTGCGATAATTGCCAACGTAGGAAGCGACCTACTGAGCCCCCGGCTGGACTTCTTCAACCAATCTCAATCCCAACCGAACCTTTCTTCCGTGTTGGTATAGATCTTCTCAGTTCTTTTCCCGAGTCGAAATCGGGCAACAAGTGGGTAGCCGTTGTAAAGACTACACGACTAGATAGGCCATCACTCGAGCGCTCCCCACCAGCAGCGCTACTGACGTTGCGGACTTTTTGTTCCACAATATAATCCTACACCATGGCGCTCCTCGCCAATTACTCACAGATTGCGGCTGCGCATTTTTGTCCCGAGTAATTGACGATATTCTGTGCTCCATCACGACGCAGCACAAGTTGACCACTTCCTACCATCCCCAAACAAATGGCCTTACCAAACAACTAAATCGCACCCTCAGGGACATGCTCACTATGTATGTGTTCTCCGACCACCATGACTGGGACCTGGCGCTACCTCACGTGACCTTCGCGTACAATTGTTTGCGCCACGACACCACTGGTTATTCACCCTTTTATTTGCTCTACAGCCGTTATCCAACGTTACCACTCGACACCCTACTTCCAACCACTACAACGCCGTCAACTGAATATGCACGCGACGCTGTTGCTCGTGCTGACCACGCACGTCAGATCGCGTGCTCAACACTTTAGGCTTCGCAAGCCACCCAGAAAGCCATCTACGACAGCCGGCATGTTGACGTTCGCTTCTCACCCGGTTCTCTCGTTCTCCTGTGGTGCCCAGTTTGTCGAGTTGGCTTATCAGAGAAGTTGTTGTCTCGCTACATGAGTCTTTACCGTATCATCCGCCAGGTAACCGACGTCACCTATGAGAACATTCTCGCATCTGAGACCACAAGCCTGCCCGCAACCACACCTAGAGATGTTGTGCACGTTAAAACCTTACCACCTGCCTACTGAAGACTGTAGTTAATGTGCACCGAGACGGCGCTTTTACCACCGGGGGGTAATGCTACGTAGCTGACATATCCGGGGTCAAAAGACAACGAGGAAGTGGTCTGTTGGTTGTGCGTGCTGTCCTCCATCTTATTCGATGCTATACGCATCAGTTTCAATATAGATTCTAAATAAACACGCCTCGTGTCATTTTTACGTAACATTAACGCACACAAACGCATGAACACGACCTTCAAAACGCATGTGAAAAAAAACTTTCATCCGCATTTAACGCCTTATCGCCAACCCGACCTGAGGCACGTTAAGTTTGTTTCTATTACATATTTCTAGATAGCAGCTTAGTACTTGGTTTAGAGATGTTTCAAAACAACCCGACGTGAATTTGACGTCCGATGCTGCTTCGGTGTTCCATGGTAAAAATTGTTTGCTCAGCCAGAGGAAGCAAGGGTGAAAACGACCTTGCGATATTGGCGCCAACTTCAGCAACCGTCAGACAAGTGCCTTTCGCACAATTTTTCGTCACCGCTTTTACAGTTCATCCAGCAGTTTTGACACTTACTGCGTTCACTTGAGTTTATAGTAAAATTGCTCTATTTTTTTGATGTTGTTGTCTTACAGACCAAGCGGCTTTTCACAAACATCTTCATGGGGGCATCGAGTTTGTGACGAGTATCCCGAAGTCTGATACTGGAAAGAATCTTCGAAGGGCGCTCAGGGACTCTTACTTGAAGAACGGGAGCAAAGTGACTCAACTTTAACTCGGAATGTTCCTGCTCCATTACTGTAAGATTGCTTCTATTTTTTTATGTTCGAATCACTTTCGTGTCACGTTATAAGTTGGCTACTTATTTTTAGCGGAAGCGTACCTTCTAAGTGAGCGGGTGTTCTTGTCATCACGTCATTTAGAGATACGTTTTCTCTTAAAATAGAAGCTAAAGGTGAAGTTCTAACAAATGACTGGCAACGTCTAATCGAAGCTTTGGAAAACTGTTCTTTTTTAAGAAGCTTTAAAAACAAAGCAAATATAATATAGTGCGCAATGTCCAGCTTTCATGTCTCATTATTCTGGACCAACGTTCTTATTTCATTATTTAAAAACAATTTTTGGGAAGTGCTGGATAACGATGGTCGAAATCAGGCCTGTAGCGAGGAATTCATTCCTAGGAGGAAGTGGAGCACTTGTTAAAGGCCTTAAAAAACCCCCATTATAATTGTTTCTTCTCGGCAAAACACCCCACTTCATCAAAATTTCGAGGTTGTGGGGAAGGCCCGAGCTCTAGCCGCCCCCCTCTCTCTTCCCCCTTCCAGCTACTAACCTTATTTGGCTGCTCTACTACTAACCTTATTTGTCAAGAGCTCGTAAAATAAAACACTTAGTGCCGTTTCGAAGCTCGTTATAACAACGGTCTCCAACATGGCTATGGAGGCAGCCTTTCTGACCACGTATGCTTGCGGATCGTCTCCTAAATTTCATTTAAGCACTTTGGGGTATTCAAAGCAACGCACTTCTTTGGCGTTGATTTTTGCTAGTGGCGTGTGTTTTGGTCATGTCATGATTAGCGTACTACCAGCTGCTGTGTGTTTGTTATGGTAGTTCGTCATAGCATCATTTTAATGCTTGGGCACGTTTTCTTTCACCTTGCAGTTTTTACAGAGCTTTCACGTGGTTTCATGACTTCCTGGGTGGATGAACGTGCATCTCTACCTCCTCCCTCATCAGGCTGATTAGAAGGAATCTTCTTAAGTACATTACCAAATGGTTGCTAAAGATTTCTTTTATGAAAATACTTCTTAGATTATACTCCATATGCTTAGACTGTGGTGATGCCACTAAGAATTTTTACGATTGTATTTAAATATGATGACGCTTTTATATTAGTAGTCTCTGTCTACCGCATTTATTTCCGTCCTGCCAGTATATTAGTAATAATACTTGCTGTGTAATGCATGTCTGTACAAAAATGCTTTTAATAAAGAAGTCTGGCATTTAATTGCTTACCATGGCGTCGTAATTTGTACGACGCAATGGTTGGACGCCAGACATTCAACGGTTTGCACGTGGTTTGTCGAAATGTGGGTCTGAGGGAATTGCCAAAGCTACAATTGGAAACCTACAATGTATCTCTACATACACGTGTACGTGAAAATTGGAAACCTGCTGTTCACCTAATATTCAAAGCACCCAGAATAAACTTGGATACTAGGAAACTGTCAGCTGTTGGCCGTGAGGTCGAACCGAGTCGGCACCTAGCGGCGAATGGAAGGAACCTCGCCGTGTGGATCTCTCCTAGCGTCGTCTACAAGTAAAAGTGCTCGCATGTGTGCGCACGTCCTGCACGCGACCTCAAAATGCAGCTTTTTAGATGCGAAGCAGCTCTTTCACTAGCTAAGTGGTTGCTTAGGCGTGTGAATATGACACAGTGAATAAGAAAAAGCGCGAAAAACGAGAGACCAGACAGAAAAATAATATAGAGAGCACTGACTTACAACAAAAAGTTTATTCTTTATACCAAGCATATATAACTATGCATCATATGGTGGTTTTGAGACTCTAAACCCTACATATAAATCAATCAATGTATACCTATGCAGTAAAACGAAAAAAGAAGCAAAAGTGAGAGTCGAGGGAAAAGACCATAAATTCATTCTCATAGCTCGTGCAATCAACCAGATAAAACGAACTTCCTTTTATGAGAGGGCAACCGAGCCTTAGCCCCAGGAACAATATCCAGCGCCTCGTGTATTTCGCGGGTAAGCTGGTCCCGATGACGCTCGATAACCACACATGACTGAAAATCAGGAGTACACCCACAATATCGGCAATATATGCCTGGGTGGCCAGACACCGTCGAGGAAACGCTGTGAGCGTGTTCCTTGAGACGGCCATTCAGACATCGCCCAGTTTGTCCTATGTATAGTTTACCACAGGAGAATGGCCTCTTGGACAAGCGTGTGTAGCGCTGTCCCTCCGTCCACCCCGCTCCCCTCACCACAGTTCTAAGAACGATGCCAAGTAGCTCACGCCCTCCTAGCAGTGCGTGGTGACGTCTGTCTTCCTCGCCTGCCACATGTTCGCCGCGTGTCAGCTCTCTCTAGCTTGGCCCTCTCCACCGATCGCGACGCTCGAGCCTACTCCTAACGTGAATGGATGGATGGATGGATCTGGCTGTGTCCTTTAGATCGGGCGGTGGCTCACACCACCTAGCCATAAAGTAACTGTGTGTTTAAGGATTGAATTTCACTCGTGCCTCGATTGTAGCCACCAATCAGTTAGCCTCCTCCGGGTTATTTCTACCCATTTGAAGTCTATTTTGCCTTCACTGTCCCTAAACTCCAATGCTTTCAAAAATTCGGCCCCATTATCTTCGACTATAGGATGGAGCCCTTTACAGAACATTATCAAATGTTCAGGCGTTTCCTCCTCCTCCTCTCCACACGCACTACATACCTTGTCTGTGCCTTCGTATTTTGCTCGGTACGTCTTGGTTCACAATACTCCTGTTCTAGCCTCAAAAAGCAGAGAACTACCCCGAGAAATATAGCAGATCTCTTCCCTTGCAATTTCCTCCTTAAAAGTTCGGTAGGTCTACAGTGATAATTTCGTAAGCATTCGCATCTTCCACATGTCCCTCTCTGTTTCCTTCACCTTCTTCTTAACCGATGTTTCCTTTTGGCTTGGTATTCTGCTGTTGTCTAAATGCTTGTTTGACAATTTTTGAGTTTGTTTCCTCCATTTAGTATCGACATTCTTCATGTACAAGTAACTGAAAACTTCCCTAGCCTGATGCTCCTCTCCCATTTTTCTCGATCATTCCTCAAATTCTATCTTGCTGCTAGCTTCCCCGCACTCAAACGATGTCCATCCCATAAGACCCTGTACCCCCTGATTTGGGGTACTCCCGTGTGCTCCCAAAGCAAGTCTACCTCTGCCACGTTGTTTAGTTTTCAATCTTGCTTGAACTTCTGATTTCATGCACAAAACCACATTGCCAAACGTCGAACCCGGGACCATGAAACCTTTTTAAATCCCTCTCACAACGTAATACCCATTGTAGTTCCACATTGCCCTATTTTTTATTACAGCTGCATCCTGCATGGTGCCCTTAGTCGTTACGTACCTTTCGTGCTCCCTTAGATACTCAGCCCCGTTGTTTATCCATGCGCCCAAGTATTTGTATTTCTGCACTATTTCTAGTGTTACTTCTTGTATCTTATCCTAACTGCCTTTGTTCATCATTAAAAAAACGTGATTGCCAATTTTCCCCGCTGAACTTCAAATTTAACCTATCTCCCTCATTACTACAGATGTCTATCAATTCCTGCAGATCTTCCTTGTTGTCGGCTAATAATACTACATCATCTGCGTACATCAATGCTGGTAATGACTGTTCAATGTGTTTTTCTTGCTTGGCAAAAGAGAGGCTGAATCAGAGTCGACTCCCTTCTAATTTGGCTTCTGGTCCCTAGAGATACAGCATAAATAACAAAGTTGACAAGGGACATCCCTGTCGAATCCCGCGTTGTATCTCTATAGATTCAGATACCTGTTCTTCCCATTTTAAAATTACCGTGTTAGTTTATTATATATCCTTTAGAAGATTAGTTATTCAATCTTCCACATCTAATGTGTCCAGTATTCTCCACAAGTCTTCTTAAATCACACTATCGTAAGCTCCCTTGATATCTAGAAATGCCAACCACAGAGGCCTGTGTTCTTTTTCCGCTATTTCAATACACTGCATCAATGAAAACAAGTTGTCCTACAACCTCGTTCGTTTACGGAACCCATTTTGTAGTCCTCTCAGCACCCCCTCAATCTCCAGCCATGTCTGCACTCTTTCCTTTACTATCTGCATTACCAGCCTGTTAACTACTGATGTCACTGCTATAGGACGGTAGTTGTTTAAATCGGCTTTGTACCCCTTTCCTTTATTAGTCATGCTCATCCTGCCGAGTTTCCACCAATTGGGAGCTTCACCATCTCATATTGCCTGGCTCGCTGCCTCTCCTAATGTTTGCTTAGAGTTTGGCCTTAGTTCGTTTATTAGCATGATTGTGAGGCCATCAGGTCCTGTTGATGTGCTATTATGAACTCTTTTCTCAGCCCTTTCTCACTCTCGTTGTCCCAGTGGAGCCACTGAGCAATTTGGTCCATCCTCATCTGGTACGGTGCATGCAGCGCTTTCTTTGTGTTTAAATTTTTCTGTCATCACTGTTTTTATATATCAATTGCCTCATCCCCATCTAGTCCGCCCCTTAAACTGTAGTGATAATCCTCTGTTTCATGCTTGTCTTGTTACTCAGAGAATTGAGATGGTTCCAAATCTTTGAAGCTGCATTTCTGCCCTTTTTGTTTACTTCCACTACCCATTCGGCCCCCCGTTTTCTAATCTGTTCACTGATCAAAATGAACGCTTCCCTTCTGCAGTTATCCATTTTCTTTTGACATCATCTTCCGGTTCACCGCTCTGTTTAGTATATCTGTGTTCCCTGAAGGCTTCCTGACGTCTTCCTATGGATCCCTTAACTTCCTTAATTCACCAGCTCTTGGGTTTGTGTCTGCTTTTCTCGGTTGACTTGACTCGTACTTTGGGAAGCTCTAACTCAAACAATTGAGTTATATTTGTGTACGTCCACTCTGTTTTAGTGTCCTCGGTGATTTATTTCCCAATCTCCTTAGTTGCTATTTCTATTTGCCTTTCTGAATAAACATTACCATGTGGTTGCTCCTAATGCCGCCTTTCCAAATTCATTTCCCTTCCAAAAGTCAGCTTGATACGTTTGTGATCACTACCTAAACTTCTGGACCCATATTCATCTATGTTCATCACCCTTAGCCAATCATACATCCTGTGTGACAGTATTGCGTAATCTATCGTCGACTGCAGCCTCCCCACCTCCCATGTTATCGGCCCTTCTCATTTCTCAGTGCTGTTACAAATGATTAAATCAAGCCTTTCACACATATTTATTAGCATTTTGCCTGTTGGGTCAGTATATCCAAACATATTTTCTATGTGCGCATTCATGTCTTAATATAATTACCTCGCACTCTTCTCCTAGTTCGCCAATGTCGTTTCTTATGCACTGCACGATTTGTTGATTTTCCTCTCTGGCTTTTGCCCCTGTGCACAAGTATACAAAACCTAGGAGATTGATTTGCCCTGCTACTTTCCCTTTTAGCCATAAGTGTTCCTTGCTCTCATGCTTGACCCTTTGCCAGTCTGTACTTTTAAGAATGAATGACCCAATACCACCCCCCTTTCTGCTGCCTTCTGTTTTATTACAATAATCCCACGCGTAGTCCGGATTGTTAGGAGCTTGTTCCATGTTCCAGATGGCATCATCTCATCCGCGCCACCTCTCTCTATCTGTCGGAGAGAAGAAGCTGCGAGTCGGCGGGTGCGCACGTAGCGCGCTTCAAGGATCTCGTGGCGCCGACCATGTGAACAGCGCACCTCTGCTTGCCGCGCTATCGTGCCTACGGGTGAGACGTCGTCACGGCATGCTTCCCGCTAGTGTGCACGCACCTTTCCTGGCTGTCGCCGGCTTTGTGAGGATTAGCGAAGCCGATCGCGTCCGCACCGCTGCTGCTTAGCATCCCATCAGGGTTCCCTTCAGAGAGATGGTCCGTAGTTTTTTTTTTTTTTTATTGTGCTAGCACAGTGTCGAATGCTTGCACGTAGGCTTACACAATATACGCAAGCGTTTCGCTTTTTTGACTTGTGTGCACTCTAATAAGTGAGTGCGTGCGCGTGTCGTTGTGGCACTAGGCGTGATCATCGTACCATCCATACCCTAAATTGCGCCGCTGTGGGTACCACGTGGTCGCTCAAGCACATCACATAGCGCACTTCCTAAATAGAACTGCTAAATTACGATGTGAATTCGCGACTTCAGTGACACCGTCTCGTAAAGTTACCGTGATTCGGCAACCCTTGTGATACCACAAAGCATGAACGAGCAACTGCGAAGGCCGTTTAGCCATAAAAAAAGATACCTCGAGCCATGCGTCTCGATAGCGGCACACGTATTGTAGCAGCAAACAAGAGAGCGGATTGTACAACGTTCTATATTTAATGACGCACAAATAGTCTTATTTTTTTGTAGGTGCCAGATCGTGAAATCTTAATACCACAACGCTGTTCATACTGTTGTGCATGCAGTACAGAAGTTAAGCACTCCCAAATGAAAAGAAAAACATCGAGCACCATATAAAGCACGACTGTCACCGAATGTCAGCGGCCCAATGATGGGCAAATTGTGCCTCAATATTACATAATAGGAATGCTAGCCTGGCTTCCTGAATTAGTGTTGCAGTGTAGAACGCATGCTTTATTGTTCGGTTGCAGTCAATGCGCTTTTTTTTGCCGAAAACCGGCTGAAACCGCCTACAGTAAAGCGCGGCTGCTTTTTTGTGTATATACGCGTAGGCGAATCCTTTCCCATGTTGTTTATTAGGAACTATTCTGAACTTCAAACACATTTTTACGTCATTACCAGCAGGGCCGTTCATTCAGTATGATCCAGCATTTGACGGAAATTGTCTCGGCTAAGCGCGCTCGAACCGAGGGTTTATATCTGTTTTTGCTCAAAGGGGGCCCCGCTTTGTTTTTGGACACGCATTCATATACACAGACACAATAAGAAAACCTAATATATTTATTCACTCATTGTTCGTGCGTGTGTCGATGCAGGTGTGACTTGAATATTGTCTTTCACATGTGCTAAACCTTTTTGCAATAGTTTTAACAGATTGTGAATTAAGTAAGTGCATTAAAGAATTCAGTTAATCCAACAGAATAAAATCTATTTTTTTACTTACGATATTGACTCTGAAATGAGCACATGACAAGTTTTGGCACAATAAAGTTTATTACGTTCTTAATGAAAGTTTTCGTCCGTGCCCTGCAATCACTACAGCTAAACTTCTGACTAACTTGTTAGGGTTAGACGCCAGAGTGTCACTACAACGAAAAACAAGAAATTTGGATATGCATGCTTAGTATCGACCACGCATTGAATCACGTGTATTGCTATCATAAAAGCAGCTGTTTATGGAGGAACTTGAGAACAATTAAGGCATACGTTTGGTTATGTTACTCGTTAAATATATACTATCGTTTTGATAGCATTGTGTAAAAGCCACGTTGTAGTGCTCAGTGTGTCGTGTAATTAAATTCCACACCACCTCACCCACGAAAAACAAACTTTAGATATGCTGGAGTAAATTGCCCTTCTTGTTTGCTGCCTCCCGGTACTGCCTGGATTTGGTAAGACGTCACTAGAGTGTTTATTGATTCTATTGCGCTTGGATGTCTTTGAGCACCCGCTTCTGTGCATAGGACTTCTGCAGCGCGCTGCGTAAATCTTTTCCGGAATCCGTGTGCGGGATGCTCTCCAAGAATTCGACTCCGCCATGCAAATGCTTGTGGAAAGACAGCTGGTCTGAAAAAATTAAGATGAAAAGCGCTTCATGAGCAAAGGCGACCGCATCCATCCGGACTATAAGGAGGTGCACCTTCTGTGCAAGGTTAGCTGTTTACTGACACAGCTATAGGCTGAACGCACTTCTTCTAAAAGGAAGACGCCACGAGAAATTCGAAGGCATAAGTTTAAAAAAACGCCAAAAGTACAGGTAAATAACCAACTCCAGAAGTAAAGCTCTCTATAGGTTTTATGCCTGAAAGCCGGTGTCCGGATGAGTGCCGCCGCGATGCGACATAGCGAATGAAGCAATGTCCCAAAATTTTTGATAAACTTGACGATAGCATTCTGTTTCAATCTGCTATTGATTGATTTGTGTGGTTTAACATCGCAAAACCACGATATGATTATGAGAGACGCCGTAGTGGGGGGCTCCGGAAACGTGTTTCAATCTGCTAGCTTGTGCTAGCTTTTATGCGTTTTTTTTTTTTTGTTGGTTTCCATGAAAAGCTGTGGTGTATGTGTTGCCCGTGAAGCGGACCCAAAAGATCATAGAGTTAAAATTTTCAACTACTTATGGCTTGATTGTTTACGCATTAATAATAACGCACGTGGGTTAGGGCTTCTTCTTTCTCATGCACAGGGGTCACTGAACGAAGTTTTCGCTCGAAGGAAACACAATGCTGTTTGCGAGGTTTCCCAGCTCGCTGACTGAGGAATTCTAACTTCGAATCTGTGCAAGAAGTAGGATGAACTGGTTGGATATCAAGTGCACCAAGATAGCTCATGTCAGTGATGGCACATGTATCGGGCCAAACCCCTCTTTTGTAATAACCACGAACAGGCTGTTGTTCACATTGGAGGTAGTGTCACCTGAATCCAGATACTTTGATGGCACGGAAGTGTTGTATGAACAAATAAAGGCAGACATTATTACTAGAAAAACCCCAGTGTTGCTAGCAAACCTTGAGGCAGTCAAGAATTCTCCAAATAAATCTACAACACTTCAGAAGAACGCTAGGAGCCTTAACCACAAGCTGTAGAAGCCTGCGTGCCGCAGTATATCTTAGCCCGAGGTAACTGTGTTTCTCTCTCTCTCTCTCTTACTTTCTCTTACAGTAACCAAGGAGTATTATTTATACAAATACCTTACGGGTTCCTATGTTTGGAACATTGTGTGAGGGGGGGGAATAAGGCAGTTATAAACTAGAACTAGAAAATTGTACAAGTTATGGTAAATTCAACAATAAAGTAGAAAAATAGATAATTATAAAACAACTTACAGGCATGAAATGCAGTACATCAAAACACGTTAGGCAGTGGCAATATATACAGATATGTGTTCAAAACAACCTTAGTTCAGAAATATATTTTATGCAAAAACACATTTTTGTATAGAATATTAAAAATTGACAACCACTTGAAGCATAGCAGTAACAGTGAATTTTTTGATAACGAACTTGTATATGGAAAATCTATGAGGAAAAGAATAGAGTGAGCTTATTTCTAAAAGTTCTGTGCTTGCGTATATGTACAATGGTGTCAGGAAGCCCATTCCTAATTTTAGGCCCCGATGAAGTTCAGAGTTGTTATATCAGTAGTTAAAGAAACTCTACTTTATTTCGTGGTATTGAAAAGCAAGTGATTTTGTATTCTGTGTCATGTTCATTAGAAGAAACCAAAAAATTGACATTTGCACTTTGTCTATTTTATGAACATCGTTTTAGGCTTTTCAGCAAACAGCCACCAATAGTTATACAGCGACGATTGTTATAGCGCGAAAACAGAACGACGACAAAGGGACAAGAAAAATACAATGAAGACGACGTCATCATCCTTTTGTCATCGTTCTGTTCTCGCGCTATAACAATCGTAATGTTATACTAACTAGCCCAAACCGCGTCCTGCCTCTCTTTCGCAGTCAGTCATGAGGAGTGCTTGTTTGTTTTGCAAGATCAGGTGTCCTGCTGTGGTAAGGCCTTTATGCGGTGGTTGCTTACAGCTTGCTCAACCGACAGCTAACGAAAGCACGACGACTGTTCGCGTCATCTACTGACAAACAAAACAATTATTCATGGCAGCTCATGGCATCCGAGATGGCTGGGCACCCGACGTCTTTCTCTCCGGCTGTTCCATTCGCACGGAGAGAAAGGGTTTCCAAAGGTGGGCGTGGCCCACTCTTTTCTCCGCACAGGTGCTCTCCCACGAAGAACCGAATTAGGACCGAAAAGACTGCAGTGCTGTTGATGCAGCTTGAATGTGGAGAGAAAAAAGAATAATTTTGTGCTTTTCTCGCGCTCATTTGAAAACGTCGGGTAGGTGTGTGAGATGAAAATCAATGCAGGGGCGTATTCGAGGTGCGCCAGCTATCTTTACCCAGAGTTTAAAATATGCCAAAACATCCAATTACGACGTGACCAAATGCATGTTGCTGACCATTACCTGGAGTTAGATTATTTATTGTGTTCTAATTTATTGTTTAATTAGATCTGTTTAACTAACTTTTTGAAGGAAAGAAGATGGATAAAAAAAATGAAGGCAGATCCACGAGGTGAATGATGATGAGATTGGGCGAAGCTCCTGGAAGTAATACCGTGAAATTTTCTTCCGTTAATTCGCCTGGCGATATGCGCGCCTCCTCGCCGCTTCCCATTGTCGAACGTTTTCAAGATCTGCTTCGCGACGTTGACGTGCTGCCTCGGCCTCTCGTTTCCCTATGGAAGGATCTTGCCGACGCTGACGTGCCACTGCAGCTTCTTGTTCACGTACGGCGGGGTCTTGCTGACGCTGCCTTGTTGATGTGGCTTCTTGTTCCCGTAAAGCAGAATCTTGCCGACGCTGACGTGCCGCTGCAGCTTCTTGTTCACGTACGGCGGGATCTTGCCTACGCTGCCTTGCGAATGTGGCTTCTTGTTCCCGTACAGCAGTATATTGGCGGCGACGTCGCGCAGCTTCCCGGCGCCTTTCTGCCTCACGTGCTCTCACATCAGGGTCATGTCTGCGAGCGCGCGCCGCCACTGCCCTGCGCGCCCGGCTTTCGGCATCCTTATCCATACGAGCACACGCTGATGGCAACGATCATCGGCAACTACAAACCTGTATTGATATGGTTTTTATTATAAAACCATTGCTTTAGAAAACACCTGGCGTCTTTCGTTAAGCAGCTGGTGCCTTCTTTTTGTTTTGCTTTAGAAACATCTCGCGTCTTTTCGTTTTGCTTTTAGAAAACATCTGGCGTTATTCGTTGGTTTATTTCGTCAATAAACGGCGTTTTGAACAAAAATATTTTATTGTTTAATCACGCACAGAAGAAATCTCACAATGCGCTACCTTGGAGGTAAACAATGGCTGCTACTGATAATGAGAGAGAGCAGAGATCGGCTTTTAACACTTTTACTTCTACTAACGTTTCCTACTAGAGCATCCCAATGGCTGCTAATGGGGAATGAGAGACAAGAATTTGGCTTTTAGTTAATGCGCACGCTGTGAATTTTTTTTATTGTTGAGCAACACACAGGAAAAATCTCCCACCGGCACCACCTTGGAGGTCAAAGCGTAAGACTGGTTACACACTACGACTACAACTACGACTACGAGGGACGAACGAGTGCCGCTATAAGGACCTTCGCCCCTAAAAATTCAATGAAAAAGTTGATCTGTTTCCAAAACACCTTATTAGACAATTTTGAACTTTATATTTGTAAATTATTCGTATTTTTCTGCTAACTCTAAATGCCCACGAAAAACAAGAAAAATACCACGTGACAAAACCACTCGCGCGCCACTACGTACGATGATTCTAGTGCAGCTTAACGTTATACGTACGAACGACCATATCATTTGACCGATTGTGCTGTTTCGACAGGGCCGCAACGATGATGGTGGCTCTGCGATGAACACGCTTTGCTATCGGCCACAAAAGCAATAACCACACCGCGCCGCTTTGGTCTAGTGGCTAAGATACTCGGCTGCTGACCCGCACGCCACAAGATCTAATCCCGGCTGCGGCGGCTGCATTTCCGATGGAGGTGAAAATGTAGGCCCATGTGCTCAGATTTGGGTGCATGTTAAAGAACACCATGAGGTCGAGATTTCCGAAGCCCTCAACTACGGCGTCTCTCATAATCATATGGTGGTTTTGGGACGTTGAACCCCACATATCAAGCATTCAAAGTGATAACCACTGTGACTGCTAATCGCTGTCATGAGCCGGTGTGAAGGAAACGTATCGTTCGTAGGCGGAACGTTAGGGAGCACCGGAATCACGGCGCGCGTAAGCGCACCAGCTGATTTGTCGCGTGGTATTTTTTCTATTTCGCGGACATTTGTAGTTACCAGAAAACTACTAATAATTAACAGATATAAAGTTCAAAACTGTATAATCGGACGTTTTGCAAACCGATCTGTGGCTGAAATTTTGTGTCCACCTTCGTTCCTTCAAAAGATATCTAATTAGGCAGATCTAATTAAACAATATTTTACAACACAAAAAAAATTGTCTAAATAACTTCAGGCGACAGTCAGCAACATGCATTTGGTCGCGGCGTAATTGCGCGCATCGGCATACTTTTACACTCTGGCTAAAGATAGCTGGGGCACACTGTATATTCTCAAACAGGCTTTTTACTGTAGATAGCACCGCCCATATTAGAGCACTACCTCTGCAAGAGATTTTTATGTGCTGGGAACTTACCTCGAAGTTTTTGGGCTGTATAATACGGGGGGCCCGGGCAAAAAAGAAAAAAACAAAAAGTCATAACTTTGCTGCAAAGGCGAAGCAATGAACGCGATAGCAACAGATTGCAACGACACGCGAAGATTGGCGTGCCGATGGAAACACATTTCTCATGCAAAAGTGACGCACGAACCGTACTCACGGCTGCCATTGAACACGTATAAGCATGTCAATTCTTATTTTGCTGTGTCTAAAAAGCGCGCCCATTTTGCAAATGAAGACTGTACAGAGAGTGTCGTAACCTTTGTGCGCCCGTTAACTACAACATAATTGTTCCGGTGAAAGC